ATCAAATTATTGATTTCCTTAGTTTTAAATGACACGTAGTATGTATGCCTTTCTTAATCTCAGCATCAATATGACATTTCATAAATTTGTACAGGTCCTAATATTGCTAGAGATGGAAAAGTGACTCAGTCCTCCCTGGGGTGGCAAGGTGTTCCTGAAAGGGCCATTGATGGAAATCGTGCAAGCAACTGGGGAAAGAGATCCTGTACCCACACAAGCAGACAAACAAAACCATGGTGGAGACTGGACCTCCTGAAGAAGTATAAAATCGACACGGTCACCATCACCAACAGAAAAGATTGTTGCCACAAAAGAATCAATGGTGCCGAGATCCGCATCGGAAACTCCCTCAATGACAATGGCAATGCTAATCCCAGGTAACAGCACCTTATGTGCTATGTTAGTTTTGAAGGTTTTACATTAATCTTTGCAAGTCAGAGGAAATCAGTGCACTGGATATCTACATAATGTCCTCACAAAAACCTGTATTTTTAACAACAAGAGCATCATCAGTATCTGTGGTCCTGTCTATACATATCCAGATATTTTATATAGTTGGTATATAGTTGGTCGACTTGTTCAGAATCGCCCAGGTCTTGTACATTAGTTAACGTTACTGTTTTGTGTCCTTGTCGCTGGCTCGGCAGTACTTCGGTCCGTAGAGCACAAAAACCATCAGATAAATCCCGGTATTCAATATCTTGGACATGACCGCAAAGTACAAAATTATACACATCAAGGGATTTATATGCCTTGAGTTTTTCATGCGTATAAATGCTGGCTTCCTCCACAAGATATAAAAAAATGTCCGGCCACTGTAGCTTTGCGGCCATTTCGTTGGGTCGGAAACCTCACTCCGTTGCTAATTGTTAGCTTATTACAATAAGCTAACCTGTCTTCGGTTGACAAACCGTTAAAATAATCCAAGGAGGCGTTTGTATCTTCCATATTCCTCATACGATTCTTGATTTTGGCGCTCCTGTCTGTACTGTTGACATGGCAACTGTCACAGTTCCTGCCTAGTGCGCAGCTGAGGCAGACAGGCAGTGTCACCGTCAAATCTGTCCCCGGGAAAAGTAATGTTGTGCCCAACTGACAAAGTAACTACGTTCCTTTACCATATTTTCAGTAGTAACGCGTTACACTACTTTTTACCCAATAAAAGTAGTTACGTTACTTTGTAACGCGTTACACACAACACTGGTCCATACCCATTGAAATTCAAAGTTTGCAATTTCAATCAGTTGCTATAGCGCCCCCCTTTGGCCAATTGATGTAATATTGCTTCATTCTGATCCACTGTGCCAAATTTCACATGGATTGACCAAGTCAGTGAGGAGAAAAACGTGGAACAGACACACAGACACACCCAGAGACAGAGTTTCGTCATTATATAGTAAGATGAGATCTCCAGTAGGTGTTTTGAAAAAGCTAATGTTAGCCTGTACGCTTCACAGATAGACAGCTAACACCTGGACCACAGGCAGGCTTGGTTAGTGCTTGGCTGCCGAATTATCTAGGAGCCTAATAGAAGTCTTGTGGCTTGCCCATTTTTTGACACATGCACGTGCCTTTTCAGCAATAAATAGGCAATAAAAATGGTCTTTTGATACTCATATTGACATTGTACTGCCTTTCACTACAGTAATAATTTTTATATCAGTCACAGAAATGAAGACATCTTTAAGTATTTATGTTTGACTCAACAATTTCTGCTTCCATTTCAAAATAAAAGTCCCCCGACAATTTTTCTGTGGACAGGATCCCATCATTCATTAACACAAGGCTTTTTATTGTGAAATATTTGCAGACCATGTTGTTGTTAATGGAGTGGCTTGCAAAGCTACATAAATATGTGGAGTACTGGTTTTCAGTTGTAAAAATACAGTAGTTACAGCAGCAGCAGGCAGCTCTGCAGCAGCACCACTGTCTATGTAAACACCGCACACGAGAGCGTTTGGAGTCATTTTAGCGTTCCAGTATAGATGCATGTATTTTGTAAAAAGAGGTCAAGTGGACAGAATTTTTTTTTTTTCAAAATGGAGGGGGAAAATATTGGTTTACAAAAATATCTGGATATGTAGAGGCAGGGCCTAAATAGTTCTACGGGTGGGTTCTATGGAAAGTTTTTGTCAGATAACATGGTTTTACTAAGAATTCTGTTTGTTTTTTTTCCTCCATAGATGTGCTGTCATTTCTTCCATCGCAGCTGGGACCTCGAAAACCTTTATGTGTGATCTCATGGAAGGCCAATATGTGAACATTGTGATCCCTGGAAGCAAAAAGTACCTGACATTGTGTGAGGTGGAGGTCACTGGGATAGAATCAAATGATTCCATTGAAAATCCCTGTGGTTGAGTCTGAACTAATTCTTCATAGTCATGTATAGATTGGATAAGGGGGTTTATCCATGTTTCTGCTTCTTTTCCTTCAATTAAATATTTATATTTATGGTCAATGACCATTATAGCAAAGTTTAATTGTCAATTTCACACAATGTTAAGACACTTTCTGCAAGAGATTTCATTGCTTTACAGTACAAAGAATTTAACATAACTTGCACCGAATTTACAACAGTTGTTTGAGGTCCTTTAATATGATAATAATAAACTCTTCTGTATCCAAGTGTCCTGTGTTTATTAAACAACCTGACCCCAACCAAACAGGATTGTGTGTTGGAACACTTTTTTGTGTAAAACTTTGGCCTCGGTTTTGTATTATTTGTGTTGGCCAGTTGCCATTGTCAGAAGAGTAAGTTTTTAATAGCGAGAAAGCCTATTCAAAGCACATGTAACCTTGAAGAAGAATTTACAAACAATGTAATCGTAACTCTGGGTTTTAAATTCAGCAGCACCAGGCAGGTTCAGTTGGGCCTGGTCTTTTTAAAGGTGCAGGTGCAGGCTGAGTTCAGATCTCAATCTTTGACCTGTGCGTGGCCTGAACTCTCACAATTAGCATCTTCTCATCTAGCTCTTAGCAAGACAGCAATTAAGCATATTTCCCCAAAGTGGCATCGGTAGGTATGCTTTAGAAAGCAACACTACTCTGTAAAACAGTTTGAAAAGTAAAAACTTTTTTGAATATTTATATGAACAATGTATCAAATGACATGTGTAATGTGTGATATGAACCTTCAATGAATTAGCACCAGAATCTGCAGCTCCCCTACAGAGCATCATAATGAGTTTCAACTCATGGTTTGCTTTACACCCCACAGCTTTACTGTTTGTTCTCTCTGACTGTTCTTACAGCATCGTTTTTGGCCACAACAGGCTGCTGTTTCAGCGAAAAAGCTCTTCAGACCCACTAAACCCATCTGCTCAGCAGCTCAGACAGATACAGTTATCGACTAACTGGTCGGCAGCTAGCATGCTTAGCTGACATATGCATCTTAGTTAAGCATATTAGCATGCTAGCATCTGCTAATTAGTATAAGAAAAAAACAGCATCTGAGGTTGATGGGCATGGCATTAGTAAAAGGTAATTTTACGTGTGTGTGTAGTGGTGACTCTAAATGAAAATACAGGGAGATCACCAAAGTGATTACAATTTCCCTTAAGCACATGCGAAAACCAGCTGCAATGCATCATCTAGCCACTTGGAGGAGCAGCGAGTACAGAGGCTGAGACAGTACTGCCATCAGTACGATCATATCAGAGGTAATGACAATAGTAAACTGTTGCTTTATGTGTGATTCAGGGAGTGCAGTCATTGACAGTGTGGGCTCCATGCTAGCTCCAACAGTTTTAAGGACCAAAGGGGAAGAGCTTAGCGAAGGGTCAAATACAAGGGTTGGTTATAGCTTGGGTTTTTGCCAATACCAGTGCCAAAACAATACTTTTGAAATTGTAAAGTTGCCTAAATTGTGTCTAAAAAAATGAGTCAATGACAAAACTGGCTTTTTTTTTTTTCATTTTATCACCAGGGCATATTTGAATGTAAAATTAAACAATACATTAACACTTAACGTTAAAAGTGGTGGCTGCTGGCCCTGAGACTGCTGACTGCTGAGGCGTATGAGGCTGATGAATCCGTATAGACTAGGCAGCAAGAAAGAACTATGGCAATAGTGACATATAGACAAAGTAAGTGAGCATGGGTGCAAGGAGTGTATGGCAGGGTAAGAAAGAAAACTTACACAGCATGAAAAGTATTGTCTTCCTGACTTAACTTTTGCTAGAGCTTCATTTCTCCATTAATTGATTGTTTGGTTTGTAAAAATTCTGGAAATAATAAGAAGTCACAATGACCAAAAGCCCAAAATGACTGACAGTGTTTGCTTTGTCCAACCAACAGTCCAAGTCTATTTTTCTAAAAAAACTGACTAATAGTTCTAGCTGTGATTGTAAATTTTCATATTTTTTGTGTGCAAAGTTTTAATTTGTAATTTAACTCATAACTACAGCTTAGTAAAAAAGTAGCATGAGAAGTGAAGACTCACGTCTGTATTTACAGTATCCGAGTAAATGTATTTAGTTAAATACCACCACTACATACCACCACAGCTTATGTTATTTTGAGTTTGCCATGACCTGAGCCATAACTTGCCTCAACATGTTTGACTAATGGCAAGGACTTCCCTTGCTTGATTCTCACTAGAGTAAAGTTTTGAGGCCTGTGTGTCTTGCATTGTATGAAGTTGTGTGTTCTCTACTACCTGGCACAAACTTCAGACATTATTTGAGTAACACAGGGTGTGCCCTGTGAGAAAAGGATGACATGAACATTAGTATCAAATGTCAGCCATAAATAATAAACTGTATGAAGTTGTGTGTTGTCTCTGCTACCAGGCACAAACATAAATCATTATTTGAGAAAGACAGGGTGTACCCTGTCAGAAAAAGATGACATGAACACTTGTATCACATGGTGAGGCAGGCAAATTGATATTTAAAGAGCAAAAACAACACTTGTTTGAATATTTGGATAATTAAACAGTTGCATGTCACACTGCACAATAGTATATAAACCATTGCTCTCTGTGCAGATCACAGCTGCTTCCAGGGTGTCCAAGAGCCCAACAGCTTCCAGGTAGGTCATTGGCATCATTCTGTTTTTTTGTTGTTGTTTTTTCTACCATATGGAATTTTTGGTCAAAAATAAATAAAAATCAAAAGCTAAATCAGCAAAAACAACAGTTTTTTGTTTTTGTGGTCATGCCCCATTTTCTCTTTTTGATGTTTTTTAATTCCTATTTGGAATCTTGATGTGTAGATCTTGATGTCTACAAGGACAAGTTATGTGTGTAAATATTAGGGTTGGGAATCTCTCTGTGATAGACAATTCGATACGTATCTAGATACACGGGTTACGATACGATTCAAAAACGATATATTTTTAATACAGAACGATTCGATACAGTGTAGGAACAATACGATTCGATGCAATTCGATACGATTTTATGGTTAACATTTGTTGATGTAGACATTAATCATACATTATAAAATAAAGAAGCCAATTCTATAAAAGTGACATTCTTACAGTATTTTCAAATTTGTAAAAGACCACATCCCCAAGCATTGTTGCTGTATGGCACTGGCAAAAATAAAATAAAAAGTCAAACAACAACAAAATCACATGTCAAATGTATTTATTTTTAGACATGGACCAAAAAAAGTCTTGCTGAATGAACATCATTTTGTTGGATGGGATCAATATAAAAATGAGAAGAAGTTTTTAACTTTAAGTGAAGTGAACTTTAAGTCAAATTTAAGTGTTTTAAACCTACTTGTTGTGTTGTTTTTATGGTATTGTCTGTGTTTTTGTATGTATCTTATATGGACTTGAGTCTGGAATAAAGTTTATTATAACGCTGTACAATATAAACATAAAGCAGAATAAAATAATAACATGCAATGTAGGGGCAAAATCTGACATCTCCTGTTATTAGTTGATATCATGGACTGTGATGACTAGCAGCTTATCACTGACAGCATGTCAGACTATTTCTCTGTGTTTGCTACACTCTGTTTGTCATTTATGAAAAGATCAATCACTTTTCTATAATACATCAATGATATTTCAATGGAATAAATTACTTATTGACTTATTCATACTTCAAAAACAGCATGAATAAGTGATTAACATAGGGGGGATCAAAATAAAATAAATAACTAAAATAAAAATCAACCAGCCACCCTCCTCCCCTGACAAGTAAAGAACAGTCCCTGAAGTGCGGTGAAGTTTGTGGAAATGTGTGGGCACTATGGCTGCCGTATTTGACAGGAATACATATTTCTGTCTGTGTCTGTGAGCCCCGTTCAACCCACAACCGGCAGGATTCGCCTTTAGTTTCTGCTGCGGCTTGGCTGCTCCCTGGTTTATCCAACCAGCATTAGCTTCTGTTCCTCATCTCCACCGGTCAAGCTGGCGCTGATGTTTACATCCATTATCGTTGTCAGTAATGCCTGCTACAGAGCATGCTGCCAGCTCTCACGTTGTTTTAGCGATGCAAACTGTTAAAGCCAGTCAACCAATTGCTAGTCTCGCGATACCTGATCCATGACTGTACAATCGATTCATCTAAGGATTCATGGCTGATTCATGTCGATTGAGGAGGCTGCTACCGACGCAGCCGTATCTCTCGCTTGTTAAAACGGATATCTGGTCGTATCGGTTAATCGTTCCCAACCCTAGTAAATATGTTTCAGTTACTTGTCTTGTCTGAAAATGCTGTAGGTGGGAGGGAGATAAAGAGAGAAAGAAGAGGAAATGAGACAGAGAGGAATTGCTATTCATATTTTTAACAGTCTTAAAAAATACTTATTGGAAAAACCTAACAAAGAAACAAAAAGATACCAACATTAGAGTTTGTCTCATTTGCTGAAACATATTTGTCCGTTCAGAACACTCACAAAACAATAAAACACACAACAAAAGCAAATGTTTCTATCAATCGACACAATTTGTGGTCAATTGAATACATTCTTTCAGTCAATCATTACACAATGCGCAAAAAAAGCAACATACAGCTGACCTTGTAGAAATGTATGCTACATGCCTGCACCATTTGTGGATACTTTGCATAGTCATAGCAGGTGCCAAAAATGGCAAGTAAGCATATCACAGGGTAATCTGTAAGCTCTTCTCCAAAGATGATTTTACAAGAGATACTAAACCCTAGTTTTCTTCATTCATTCCTTCTTGTGTTTTTCTGTGCCCATCAACTGTCGTTGAAATGATATGAGACCTATTGTAAGCACCAAGAGTAGGACCCGTGTTGCACGACAGTTATCATTCATTATGGCAAAGCTTTTGTGCTGCATTCTTATTTCACAAAATAACCAGTAAAGACTGTCACCCAAACTAAGAAATATTCAGAAACATCTGGAAAAAAAAAATTGTATTCCGTGTTTTGCTTTGACCACTACAGCCATACAGGTTTTGACAAAGTCTTGTTTTCATACTTTTCAAACTCAGAAATGCAAAATAATGCTCTCTTAATGGACAATTTTATATTAATTTAATGTGTATTTGTGCATTTATTTTAACGTATTTTATTTTATGTCTATTTTACTGTGCGCTGCCTGGCAGCTGAATTTCCCTTTGGGGATTAATAAAGTTCTTTCTATTCTATTCTATTCTTCATCTCATTACATCCCTTTTTCCTCTTTGATCCATGCTTGCCAATAGCAGCACAGAGGTGGCATCATTTATAGGTGGATACAGACTGATTGCTGGTTGAAGAGTTTCGCAATGTGCAGGTGCAGTAGAGATTCATAATTATTTGAGTAATTGTTATTAGCTGTGAATATATGTTTTCCTTTTGTTTAACACAGGTAATCCAAAATAGTTTAGAGTCTAGGAGATCTGTGTTAACTGTTTTGGGGTTTTTTTTAAAGAGGGGATTGAAAATGTGTGAAACCAATTAAAAAAGTGTGAACACATTTGCAACAGGTAGATTTGGACATGAGTGTGTAAAGATGGAAATTATATGTAAAGGTGGTGGTCAGGTGTGGCTTTTTTCCTGATCAGGTTAGTTTGTGTTAAGAATGTATGTGCACATTATGTATATGAATGTTTATGCATGTGTAGAAATATATGTAGAGGCTTTAAAATGGAGGTTTGATATGATTGTATGAGTGTCAACTTGCTTCACAGGATGATGACTCCAGCTGTGGTCTTTGTCTTGTTGGCTGTTTTAGGACAGACAAGTGGCCAGTCTGGTGAGATTATACTATACTATACTATACTATACTATACTATACTATACTATATTATTTAACTGGTTCAATGAAATTATTAATGATGAATAGTTTTCTGATTTTGGTTGCTTTTGGTCAGATCAACAGATCTAAAACTGCAACTTCCCCAGATTACCTTTAATAACATTTTTTGACTTTGTCCAGGTTCTAATATTGCTCGAGGTGGACGAGTGACTCAGTCCTCTGTGGCGTTTGGTGGGGTCCCTGAAAGGGCCATTGATGGAAATCAGGCAAGAATCTATGAACAAGGATCCTGTACCCACACAAACCTTGAAAGCAGACCATGGTGGAGACTGGACCTCCTGACAACATATAGAATTAACACTGTCACCATCACCAACAGAGGAGATTGTTGCCATGATCGGCTTAATGGTGCTGAGATCCGCATTGGAAACTCCCTCAATGACAATGGCAATGCTAATCCCAGGTAACAGCACTTTCTATCTTATATTTGGTTTGAACATTTTACATTGGTGTGTATGTTACAGGAAATTAGTGCATTGTATATCTACATATATTCACAGTTTCATCAACTAACATAATTTACTAATTTTTCTGTTTCATGTTAATTTTTTTCAGGTGTCAATCTATCAATTCTATCCCAGCTGGGACCTTCACAACTTTTGTGTGTAATGGAATGGAGGGCCAGTATGTGAACATTGTGATTCCTGGAAGACCAGAATATCTGTCACTGTGTGAGGTGGAAGTCACTGGTCAGCTTGCAGGTAACCCTCCTCCTACTGGTAATATGTACCACCTTAACTATACAATAATATGCTGATTGCCTGTTTTTGGTAGTTTTGGTCAGGTCAACAGACCTAATACTCCTGCAACTTCCCCAGATTACCTTTAATAACATTTTTTTTTTCTTACGTTGTCCAGTTTCTAATATTGCTCAATTTGGACAAGTGACTCAGTCCTCAGTGGCGTTTGGTGGGGTCCCTAAAAGGGCCATTGATGGAAATCAGGCAAGCAACTGGAATCAAGGATCCTGTACCCACACAAACCATGAAAGCAGACCATGGTGGAGACTGGACCTCCTGAGGACATACAAGATTAACACTGTCACCATCACCAACAGAGGAGATTGTTGCCATGATCGGCTTAATGGTGCTGAGATCCGCATTGGAAACTCCCTCAATGACAATGGCAATGTTAATCCCAGGTAACAACACGTTCTATCTTATATTTGGTTTGAACATTTTACACTGGTTGTGTATGTCACAGGAAATCAGTGCACTAGATATCCACATATATTCCTAATAGAAAGACAGAGTTTTAGGGGCAAAAGCATCATCTGTATCCAAAAATTAATGTGCAAGATGCATAGTTTTGATCTGGTAACATCATTTACTCATACTTGTGTTTCATTTTCCTTTTCTTCAGGTGTGCTGTTATCCATTCTATCCCAGCTGGGATCTCCAAAACTTTTATGTGTAATGGAATGGAGGGCCAGTATGTTAACATTGTGATTCCTGGAAGACCAGAATATCTGACACTGTGTGAGGTGGAAGTCACTGGTCAGGTTGCAGGTAACCCTCCTCCAGCTGGTGATATAACTATACAATAATATGCTGATTGCCTGTTTTTGGTGGCTTTGGTCAGATCATCAGATCATATACTCCTGCAACTTCCCCAGATTGCCTTTAATAACATTTTTTGACTTTGTCCAGCTTCTAATATTGCTCAATTTGGACAAGTGACTCAGTCCTCCGTGTTGCATGGTGGGGTCGCTGAAAGGGCCATTGATGGAGATCAGGCAAGCATCTGGAATCAAGGATCCTGCACCCACACAAACTGCGAAAGCAGACCATGGTGGAGACTGGACCTCCTGAGAACATATAAGATTAACACTGTCACCATCACCAACAGAGGAGATTGTTGCCATGATCGGCTTAATGGTGCTGAGATCCGCATTGGAAACTCCCTCAATGACAATGGCAATGCTAATCCCAGGTAACAACACCTTCTTATATTTGGTTTGAACATTTCACACTGGTATGTATGTCACAGGAAATCAGTGCACTGTACAGCTACATATATTTTTATTAGGAAGACAGAGTTTTCAGTGCAAAGGCATCATCTGTAATGGTTTCATTTTTCTTTTCTTCAGGTGTGCTGTTATCCAGTCTATCCCAGCTGGGGCCTCCACAACGTTTGTGTGTAATGGAATGGAGGGCCAGTATGTAAACATTGTGATTCCTGGAAGAAGAAAGTATCTGACACTGTGTGAGGTGGAAGTCACCGGGACAGAATGAGATGATTGTAATGAATATGTCTGCACCTGAGTCTGAAATGATCATTCATTTTCATATCCATTAATTTTTCATGCTAATCTATGCTTGTTTCTGCTTCTTTTCCAATAAATATTTATGCCAATGTTTGATTGTCCATCATAGCAAATGTACATGGATGTCAATGTAGTTTGGACAGTTCTGCAAGGTCCTTTCATATGACATCAACTCTTACTTTCCACTGTTTGCTGTTTGTGTAGTTCAGTGATTGCTATACCTGTCACCTTCATCCTAATTTAGCATGAAGACTGTACGCAGAGGGAAATAGTGAACCTGGCTCCGTCCAAATGAATACAATCTTACTGTTTGTTTACTCTCTCGATACATTGAGTAGTATACACTCCCCTACAGCAACATGATGGAAAGTAATTGACAAAATATTTGTTAATATAAAGAAAGAGATAACTTAGTATATTACATTTACAGAATATACACAGAGGCATGGATAATTATTAATTTAATGACTGTTTCAAAACGTTTAGAAAGTGTTTTCATACTCTACAGCTCAAACAACTACAAAATTTTAAAAAGGATTCTGGACAATTTCTGTAAAATTTGACACATTTACTTTAATGAAAGTTTTGTCTTTTTGCATAAAATCAATGTCAATGGGGAAATCAGTTGACTTTACAGGCACTCCTCAGTCTTAAATGATTCATTTCCTGAGTCTGTGCCACTGTCAAGAGAGCAAAATAGCACTCTTGTCTGGCAACATGTATTGTCATTAATCTTTTACTTGTTTCATAATTTGATTCACTATCTGCAGCACTTGCAAAATAAAAATGACTTTTTAAAAGTCATTCATCTGTTTTGTTTGGTTTTTTTTGTGTGTGTGTCCCAGGTTGGCTCTTTATTTAAATGGGTATCATTGTAGGGTATTTAAAGCACAACATACAAACAGATACAAAAAACAGCATATACAGTAGCTGATTACAAATGCTTATACATTTTTGGTTGTACCATTGTTATTTTTTAACTACTGGGTGCCTATTCTATTATTACAGGGCAGTCAGTTGGAATCATGCAACAACTCAGGCATCCTGACCAGGTGTAGAGAGGTGCGAGAATAAGAAAAAGCAAGAAACTGTCTTTTTTAGCATAGAGTATTATCTGCTAGACTTAATCAGAGATGTGTTGATAGTATTGTCTTGTATCATTGTACCATCTAAACAGAGGAATTTAGGCTTCAGATTTGGATCACTGATTGCTGCCAACAGGCTTGTGTGTGTGGAGCAGCAGAGAGAGAGAGACGGTGGGGAGGAACAGAAAAAAAGGTCTTATCAGGAGGGAAAAAATAAAAGATAACCTGATAATATCATGCTCATCTTGGTCACAAATAGTGTTGCTTTATTCTGTCAATTCATACCTGCAAAATGACATATCAATGTACAGAAATGATACAGTACAGAAGAGTGACAGTAGAGTTGTGGCAATACTAAGGGCGTTAAGAAAAAGTTAGTAGGACAAAAACAAATCTTGAGTCTTTAGAGTCTGTAATACTTTACTTTCAATTATCCTCATCTCCCTTCTCCCCTCCAACCCACTGGTTTGTAGAATCACATTTCAAAGCCTCAAGTTTGGCATTTCAGCAGTAGCCATCTTGGTTTTTGGAAGCACAAGTGACCATATTTGGGCATGAGGGTGGCACTGGGGAGGAGCAAGGGGTGGATCTGACTGAAAAGCTGATGACACTATCAGCAGACAGCCTGTCACTCAAAGCATCTCACCTTTAATTATGTATAACATTAAGCTTTAACAAAATGTAAATGAGTGGGATGTGAAAACATCGACCACTGGTACAGTTGTCATAAAGGGAGAATTAGCTACAGAGACCAAAACTGTTGCATGTAGCTGGTCAGCTTTCATGAAACACTTCTCCAACTGGTGATTTGTACCATATAAACTATCTGGTATGCTGACTGCCTGTTTTTGTGGCTTTGGTCAGATCAAAAGATCTAATACTTCTGCATCTCCCTCTGACTACCTTTAAAACAAAGGTTTAACTTTTAATTTACAGTCCTCCCTGACATTTGATGGCATCCCTGAAAAGGCCGTTGATTGAAATCGTGCAAGCATCTGCCCAGATAGCACACATACATCTGGCCGACGTCGGCCCGATGTATCAAGTTTAGATCGTTAAGACACAGGGAGAGCGTTTGCTCATTGCCAATACATCACTGAGACGTCGGCCTTTAATCTAAAATGACCACCACACGACGTTCAAACGATCAGAAGCTGCACTCAGTGGGCGCTCCTTCTATATTAATATTTATGCTTCGTTAACTACAACCTTTATTCATTTAGGTCGGACCTTTCAAACTACAAATATTTCACAATCCAATGTGACAAATCGATGCTAACATTCAAAAATAGCTAACTGTTACCCTGTTCCGTGTGTAAGTGTGCACAATGAAAAAACTTCCACGTTTATATGACGACGTTATTGAAACGATCTCCGTTCACACGGAGCCGCAAAATCGATTAAGGTAAAGCTGTAGTACTGGAGGCTGCAGTTTCAGGACCACAGTTTTAGGACCGTTTAATTTTCCTAGCGGAGGCTGCAACCTGAATTTTATTTTTATTTTTTTGCTATACGCAAATACTACTTTCTTATTAAATAGTTATAATCAGTGTTGGGCAGTAACGCATGATTTGATTGATGAAGCCCAGGTAACTATACATTACCATTTCCAATCCTCTCCGCTCCTCTCACACACACCTAAACACCCGTTCTGGGATACACAGTGTCGGCCCGCGCGGCCTGACCGGCTTGCCCTCCGCGGTCCTCTCCGCTCTTCTCCCCCAAGCTTGTGCATCCGTCCAGGGAGGGCTGTGGAGGTCAGGCCGGGTGGGACCATAAATGAGTGCAACCTGATCTCAAAGAAATACGTGAAATGACCACGACCTCTTAACAGCACGTAAGAGGTGGTGGCAGCACGTAATGGGTTGAAATTACGTGCTGCCACCACGAAAACAATGCCAATGTAAAGTCAGTTAGGATCCTCTCCCGTGGTGGACACACGGATTCCCTGATTCAATCACGTCACGTCTATATTGACGCCTCGTTTTCCTCAATGATATCTTTAACATTCCTGTATACACACAAAAACGCGGAAGCGTCCTTGATAGGAGGGCGTAGGGCTTTAAGAGCATTGTGCTGTGGGCGGATGGGGCGCGTTCCACTACAGTTTCATAGCTGCTGTCTGCCATCTGTGGGCTTCATTCCATTTCAGATTGCCATCCGTCTGCCGTAACTGAATCCAAACGCCACTAATAAATTAATCAATAATAAGATAAAAATAAGGCTGAGCACGGAAGTACCAGAGAGGAAACTGTCTGCCCCTGGCAACCCGGCCACCCTCCACTCCACCAGGGGAGAGTGGACCCCAAGCCATTTTCGTTTCCAAATATTTATTTGAAAACGAAACCATTCATACGGTCA